TGGTCAATGCCATTAAAAGCTAACGGGCAATTCAGACCCAGTTAACGGAGCTCAACGTGTTAAGTTAGTCGCCAATGTGCCTGGCACTCCTCACCACCCACATCAACCTATAAATCAGACCTCCTGCTACTAATCACGTAACTGCTAAAAGTGGTAATAAATCGAGACAATCCCATTATAAGCTCACAAGACAAAGAGGCAGTAAATTTTCTGGTGGGGCAGAGAATCAGCCCCTAGATACCTAGTGTTCACCAATTTGCAGGTTGCCTACCAGTTCTGGGTTGCTACGTACAACGTTGAGCACTAGAATCTTCTAGTGTTCTGCTTCCAGTATCAAAAAGCAGACCTTGTTCACTGTTGATGATTACTAATTTGCTGTCTTTTTCATTACTCATCTCTATCTGTATTGCTCCTACCATATCTAGCTCTGCTCCCATCATCTTCCCTTCTCCTGTTTCTCGTACCAGCTTATCCACCCTTTCCTCTAGATCTACAGAATTATCGTTGACAGGTAAATTACTGCCCTGTTAGCATCAATCTGTCAATAAAAAGAACTGTCCATTCATTGTAATTAGTAATCTTCAACAACTAACACCTGTCCTCAACACACCTTTTCTGTTTATCTCACTTATCTGCCACAATACATTTCCATCTCGCTTTCCCTTCTTTATTTAAGTAGTTTTTCAATAGCATTGCATGCCTAGAACCTATTTTTCCATCTGTTTTTCCTGTGTGCCCACTCTATGCTTCCTATTATTCTTCCAACCTCTCTCTGCTGTAGTGGAGTCCTGTAGCTCAGTGGTTAGAGCACTCGCTTTGCAAGCGAGAGACCTGAGTTCAATTCCAGGCAGAGGGTGAAACCTTGGGCAAGTTTCCTTACTCCACACAGAGCCTAATAATAATCCCTCCAAAAAAACAAAAACAATAATAAATTGGTCATTTTCAATCTACGACTGTTTGTGGGACATTGCTGTGCGCAATTGGCTGCCGCGTTCGCCCACAAATATACAGTCAATTCACTGTACAGTATATTCTGTGAAGCGCTTTGGGACATCCTCCCGACGTGAAAAGCGCTATATCAAATGCAAGGATTATTATTATTATTATTATCTGTCCATCTCTTCCTCATCTACTACTGACATTTACACATATGTTCCTTATTCACCTCCCCATCCAAATCACTTCTTTATCTGTGTCTCTCGGCTCTCTCTACTACCTTTCATGCATCATACGTTGACCCTTTCACACTCACGGCACCTTCTAATGACATCAATCCTCTCCAGCTCCTCTATCCTTCAGACCATGATTAACAAACAGTGTTCACAATAAAAGTCTTGCCTAAGATCATCACTTCTGACTGCTGTAAACATCTGACAAGACACATTCATCACAGCCTTCCTATTGTTCTTCATTTCTTATTATCCCCGTGGCTCTGCTCTCAAATTGTTTGCAACTCATCTGAAGTTCTAACAGCGAAGAAAAACAAAAGGAAAGGATTCATCTTAGTTTGCCAATAAGAAGCTGTTCTCAAATTTGCCGCACCTCTTGATCTAGAGAAACCAATCTGTAAGTCTACCTTAATTCACCATTTAAGACGTTCTATTGCTGATCTTGTGCTGATTGTGCTGATAAAGCAAATGCTTCATTCGTCTCAGGTACTTGTTCTTTTGATCATAATTCCGTAAAGATCATATAGTTTCTCAGGAATATCTAAAAGATAAGCCTCATAAAAGAACATCTGTTTGAATAACAAGGCCAATTGGGAGGTTCTCTGCTACGTTCTTGCAGCCACTAAGTATCTCTGCATCAAAAGATGATTCCCAAACCTAGAAAAAAGTTGTCAGCATCTGTCAGCTGGATTGAACATTTCATCTACTTTAAAGAGCTCAGTCTCGGTTTAATGAGTGGTATAACAACAGCAGAAATCAAAAGCTAACAGTTTGAAAGCTTAAGTGAGTATCTCTAGCAAAAGCCATCGATGCTACTTATTGAAAAATGGCACAAAGTATTTTTTTTTGAAATACACTGTTTCACTGTCTGCAATCAACATTTTCAATTCCTACTAAAATAAATTAGTGCATAAAGTTGCACATCCAAACACTGTCAGGTTATGAAAGCTGCCAAGTGTCACACACCTTCAGTTTACCAGCAGAAACTTTAAAATAAGATCTTAAAGTGAAAGAAAAACTAAAGAACTTGCATTTTTGTAGTGATTTATCACATCAAAACATCTCAAAGCACTTTATAATAATTATCATCAAGTACAGTGACTGCTTCTCAAGGCAAACAAGTCGCCCATTTGCACCCCACAATGCCCCACAAAACTGCCATGAGGTGAATGATCAATTAATCTGGAGTATCATCAGGTAGAATAGTGGTAGAAATTCCCTTCTCTTGTATCTTTGGGATTTTTAACATCCACCTGAAGAAAAGGCCTTTGAGAATATGAGATTTGGACAGACCAAAAGATGAAGTCCAGCTTTGAAGACAAGATGTCAGCCTGGCTCCGTTGATAACATGCTTACCTCTGGTCAAATGTTTGGGGTAGAAAAGATGGGTCTTAATGGAGGGTTTCAAAGTTGGGCAGAGGGGAAGGTGAGCGAGAATGGTAGGATTCTGGGATGGAGTTCTAGATCAGGGGGGGACAGAATGGCTGAAAGCACATGCATCAATGCTGGAGCGGGTGGGTGGATGGGGAACATGAGCCATTCCAATGTTTGCATAGCCAGAGGGAGCAGCCAGGTTGATAGGGTTACAGGAAGTCATAAAGGTAGGGAGGGGAGCGGGCATGGAGGGATTTGAAAGTGAGAACAAGGAACTTGAATTCAAACTGCTAGGGTTATTCCAAAAGCTAAACTAGTGGGCGATGTGGAAGCACCAAAAAAGGGTGGAAAAATACCTAAACTATATTGAATGGAACTCCAACCAATACTTTTCTGAAGCATGTTGTCCAGTACGTCACACTGAAATGTACATGAAGTTCTACGGCAACTGATTGCAAAAATCTGAAAGAGTCTCAGTGATTTATTCCAGTGTGGTCCAACTTTTTGGTTGCTGAGGGCCAGATGCTGGATCTGAGAAATGTCTGCGGCCATATCAGCAATATTTTATCTTGAGCGGACAGTCCCGTTGCCGACTGAGCCTGAACCCGTGGTAACCATCTCCTGGTTGGCTCGGGGCCTGCATGTCACCTGTATTTGCTCGTCGGACAATGACATTGGAAATGGTTCATGGGCCAGATGAAATCATCCCCGGGCCAGATGCAACCCGCGGGTCCTCAGTTGGACCACCCTGGTTTAATCTATTGGACGTAGCCAGATGTTGTGTAAGCTGGACTCCGAAACAAAATGTCATTATATACTGAACCCATGTGCAGTGGCGTATTCAGTAACGACAGAAAATGGGATATTAAAGTGCGATGGATCAATGCCACGTAAGTGATATTAAATAAATCAAGATAACAAGATAATTTTTTATCAGAAATATAATCAACTCTATTTATAAAAAAAATTCATGGTACCAATTTATGTACATCGATCTTTCCAGGAGGCAAAATTTCCCATATTGATTTCAATGAAATTCTGTTCCATTCAGAATATATCAATGGGGGGGGAGGGGTTATTCTCATTTAACTGCCAAATTTTCCATTTCCTGCACACAATAACACTGCTTTGCGATTTTGCAAACCAATTCAGTGGGTTGCACAATCATAGGAAATAGATATTGACCGGAAATGATTATGTGCTATAATACAAAAGCAATGAGTGTCTTCTCTTTACAAATGCTGTATTGTGAAATGCCAAAATTATACTTAGAAAGAACCGTTATGCGAACGCCATGTGGATGGCTGAGAGCAAGGCTTCTTTGGGTCAATGATTCCCTATGTGTGGCTCAGATGTTATTTAGGAAATCTGTTAAGAATCCTCCCCCAACCCCCCACGCACCCCCACTCCCCCACCCCCAATCAAAGCCTAGCACACGTAAAACTTACCAGAATCTTGCTGATAGGTTACTGAAATGAACGAAATGATGTGAAAGAGTAAAGAAATTATGCTTATAGTTCGTTATCACAACAAATGTTTAGATTTTGCTTTTGTTTCCTCTCTCGTCACAGAGGTTTGGAGGAATAAAAGTTCTTTGGCTCATTTTCTAGAACATCCATCCTACTTATGAACACATCTTTCCCTAGCTCCTGGCTTTAAGGATCCTATTGGGGGGGCAGGGTCAGATACAGAGAAAGTGGGGCAAGGTGGGTCGAGCGAGACAGGGGCAAGGTCGAGTGTACAGGGTAATAGCTTGAATTCTAAATGGTTTGGAGAGAACAAACATATTCTAAACGTTGACTTCTGTCTGAGTGAAGTTACCCAATTATGTGCTGGATACCAACATGCTGTATTTGTTCTCACTGTGCAGGACATCACACTTTTTTGGTTCACCGTGAAATTCCATGTACGTACCCAAGTAAGACCACCCTTGTGAGAAAGTAATATTGAAATATAAGTGCACCAATAAAAATAACAATGCTTACAATTGATCACACTCCCTGGACTCATCAAAGCGTTTCACAGGATTTTGCTGTAAAATGCAGCGACTGTGTATTTATTGGCAGTCAGTTGGTGCACAGCGGAGCACAAATGCAAAAAAAAGTGGACTAAAGAAGTAAACTTTGCATTATATCAAATGTATTATTATTATTATTGCACATTAAGTTTATTCAAACTCTCTGGGACTCCACGAACAGCAAAAAAAAGTTGCAAAACTTTCTTCCTTTAAAAAGTTTGTTTTCAGTAAAAAAAGAGCTTCAGACAAAAGTTGGGGTTAACTGGATTTCCCTTTGATGGTTGTGCATTTGCAGAGTCCCTTTAAGAGGTGCATCTGCTCCCCTTAAACTGAGAGCAGTCTCTCGTTTGATTAGTATAAACCTCTCTCCTGGATCACTGGACTCTCACACAATACTTCAGACTCGGAACGAACAGAATCAACGCATTAAAAAAGTAACGATGGTCGATTGCACAGCAAATATCAACCCCAAACTTCAAGGGCAGTACCTATCCGAAGAAGTGAGACTTTCTTTTAAATGTTTAAAAGTAAAGATATTTTATTGACAGCCTTGGTGGAAGAGAGATTTGTTTTGGGGAGATGCTCTGTATAATTGATAGACAGGGGGGGGAAAATGTTTGCACCGATCAATCAATCATTCAGTGCAATGCCAAAACGCTTTATTTTAATCATTTAAGCGCTTTAAAAAAATCAGTGCAAGAGCAAGAAAAAAGACTCGTTTTTTTTTGTCTCTCTCTCCTCTTCTTCTTACAAATCTCCAGGTCTTAACAGCCAGGGAAAAACGCAAGAGTTTTGCGAGGTATTTGAGGACTGGGTCGTTGGTGCTTTTTGCTGGGGTAGTTTTGCTACTGCTGGGTTGCTTCGGCATTCGCTACTACTGGAAAGGCAATGGAAACAAGGTGAGCAGTTCATATCTCCCATCCTTTTTAACAGCTATTGAAACATTTATTGCAGTCAAGCTCTGATAACTCGTCACTCCAAGGGAAATAGCTCAACTGACAACTCATCAGAGTTGATTAGTTATCCAAAGTACAGTATCACAAAAGCACCAAAAAAAAATTTGGTCACTTAAATCCACGACTGTTTGTGTCACTCTGCTGTGGGCAATTGGCTGACACATTTCACCCACAAAATTCACTTTGCAGTATGTTCTGTGAAGCGCTTTGAGACGTCTCAACGATGTGATAAAGCACTATATCAAATGCAAGGATTATTCTCATTGTCAGAGTTGACAAGTTATTCAAAGTACAACAACTCAAAAGTGCAAAGTACTCAAATGGCCAGGATTTTGAGTGAGTGACTAGTTATGTGAGCTTGACAACTTATCCCAGGGGTAAGTTAATTGATTCCCACTGTGTATATTTTTGGGTCTATTTAATCACAGTCCATTTGATTGAAATAAATCCTGGAAATCAAGACACTGTGGGGGAAAAAAAACAAATTGGCAACTAATTTAGAGCCTCAGAAGTTTGACGTTTCAGCAGTTGTTAACTTCACGCTGTGAAGTTTTTTTTCCTAGGGGTTTTGGTGACCAAAAAGTGAATGCAAAAACAGTTCAATTACTTTTTTTGGAAAGTTTGCTGCAGCCTAATGGAATTTCCATACAAGAAAGGCTACAGCCACGTAGAGGAAGAAAAAAACATTTGGATGATCCCAGACAAATTTGTCTGAAAGCTGCATTACCTAAATTTAAATAAAATTACCTTTGCCTTGAAATATTCCAGAGTTAAGTCACCTCTCGTCCCCTCCCCCACCCCATCTGAAAATGAAATTTTCTTTTGTGTATTATTACTCTCGTGATTGCTTGCAGGTGGGGAGCAAACAGGGGCTGTACAGACCATTGGATATCACATGCCAGGCCCCAGATTCTACATAGTCTTAGCCTGTAAGGCCATTTTGAACTTAAAAGGGCACAGGATTGTGAGGGAAAAAAATTATTCAAGACTTTTTAATACTGCGTAAAGCTAGGTTCGAAATTGTGATTGAATTTAAAAGTTGGCCAGTTTCAGAGAGCGGGGAAAAAAAAGGACATGAAGCAGGCCACTGTTAGTTGTGAGACAAGTTGCACATTGACAAAATCTCCACTCCACTGGCAGTGAATGGCTTTTGCAGGTGAATACAAGTCCCAAAGTCATGCAAATTGTGAGGTATGAAGCTGCTTGTATTGGCCAGTGAGCCGGCCTTCATGGCCATTCAGTCAGTCAGAACAGTACTGAATATCCAGGAGAATAATAATAATAATAATAATAATCCTTGCATTTGGTATAGCACATGATCACATCATTGAGACAGAATACACTGTAAAGTGAATTGACTGTGTATTTTGTGGGCAAAACCGGGCTGCTAATTGTGCACAGCAGTGTGCCACAAACAACAACAACAACAACAAGATTACATTCGTATAGCGCCTTTCACGTCGGGAGGACATCCCAAGGCACTGGACAGAACTCTGCAGCTCGTGTACTGTCTCGCACCAGGTTTTGCGACCACATCACTCCCACCCTCGCTTGCCTCCACTGGCTCCCCATCCTCACCTACAAGGCCATTCACGGCCTACTATCCCCCTACTTACCTGCCCGTACCCTCCGTTCCTCTGGCTCCAGTCTGCTCCACATCCCCCGCCCTAACCGCCCTACCATCGGTGGCCGGGCTTTCAGCCTCAGCCCCTCGGCTCTGGAACTCCAACCCCCAGGTCCTTCGCCGCCTCCTCCCTTTCCTCCTTCAAGGCCGGTCTCAAGACCTTTCTCTTTGACCGTGCCTTCAGCTCCCCTCTCGACTCTCTACCCCCTCCTCGCTCCCTCCCTTCCCTCCCCTCACCCTGACCATTTCCCCCCTGCTCGGGTCCCAACCCAATTGTCCAGCACCTTAGGACGTCCTCCTGACATGAAAGGCACTCTATAAATGCAAACATGTTGTTGTTGTACAGCATTTCAGACCCGAGCTGGGGTCAGGGAAGGAGAAGGGAGGGGAAGGGAAAGGAGGTGGCCGATGGCATGGGCGAAGAGGAGGGTCTTGAGGTGGGACTTGAAGGAGGCTAAGGAGGGTCGGAGTGACTGGGGGATGGAATTCCAGAGGTTGGGGCAGAGTGGCTGAAGGCTCTCCCGCCAATGGTGGGGCGGGTGGGTTGGAAGATGTGGAGCAGGTTAGAGCCGGCTGAGTGGAGGGAACTGGCGGGTTGGTAAGGGGTTAGGAGGTCGCAGAGGTAAGGTGGGGCGAGGCCATGGAGGGCTTTGTAGGTGAGGACAGGATCTTGAACTGGATCCTCTGAAGGATAGGGAGCCAATGGAGTCGGGCGAGAATGGGGGAGACGGGGTCATGGAATTTGGTGCGGGAGAGGACACGGGCTGCAGAGTTCTGGATTATCTGCAGCCTGTGGAGGGAGAAGTTGGGAAGGCCGACAAGCAGGGCGTTTGCATATTCAAGCCTGGAGGTGATGAAGGCATGAACAAGAGTTTCAGCAGCCTGAGGGGTGAGGTAGTGGACATGGATTGAGTACCACATTTTTTTTGAAGAATTATTACCCCCGAAAAGCGATCCACCAATTGACTAAGAACCTGAATCCTACTTACTGCTAGGTAAACAGAAATGTGTGGAGTAGGGAAACTTGCCTAAGGTTTTGCCCCACCCAGGAATCGAACGCGGGTCCTCTCGCTTGCGAGGCGAGTGCTTTAATCACATTGCTATGGGACTTAGAATGTGACAGGACACGCACTGATTTGGCTCGAGAATTATTTTTTTAACTCTGCTTTGCTTTTAAAAAAAAGCCCTTTTCAGGCTGTAAGCGACACCCAATGAAAAACAATCCACAACATCTTGCATCCACAGGGGTAGGGTCTTAGAGTGCTAATAGATTAGAGGCGATTCTGTAATCCATTTCATTGTTTGTTAATTACATTATTATATAGTTAGGAACACCTGTAATTCCCTGTGTACATTCACACATTCATTTGTAAGTTGTGTAAGCCTGACGCCATCAGGTGCCTCCGTGAAGCGTACACCCTGCATGTTTTATTGAAGGGCCTGATAGAGAATGTTTGATATCCTTTCTTTACTAATGAGAATCATGCATTATGGATGGTGTATCGGTGCTCATAGACATGAGCAGTGCTGAATTGTTCCGACAGGTTACTGAATGCGGTGATTGGAAATGACATAGTGGTGCTCAGGGCGGGTTTGCTAAGGTCTCTTTTTCACTCGGAATTGAGGTGTGTGGCTGGCGTTTCACAGGGTTTCACATCGCACGTACGGCTGATTGATGCAGTCAACCAGCAGAAAGCACAAAAAAAAGTTAATTTCTTATCAGTGGCAGCACTCACCTTGATGAGAACCCCTTCATTAAATTATCAGAGTCTTTATGTCTCAGTATAAAAGCTCATAAAATTGACACATTTGCATTCTTCCTCAATTTAGTAACAGCAATTTTATAAAGGAGAGCAACAGATTAGATTTTGTGCTCGTAAAATGTTATCTCCTCATTCTTTGCTGGCATGAAATAAACAAAGTTGCTCTTTGTTCTTAAAAAATGGCCAGAAGTTAATTTGCTTCATATGTTCTGTTCCAAACTGAAATCCTAGCTTTGACTTTGTATCACAATGGAAGCCGAGGTAGTGAAATAAAATACTAATGGACAGTGCACTTAAAGTAACCCAAGCTTGCTGAAACTAGGCAACTTGGAACAGAACACGGGACAATTAATGTGCCATTTTGTTCTGACACATTTGATTTGTCTACATGACTTATTGGCGGTTGATACCACCCAAGGGGCAGATTAACTATTATGAACCTTTCCTGCTGTTCAAGAAATCAATTGCTATCGTTAGACATCGTGGAAAGCTTGAGAATTATGTGATAAAGAAAAAGGCTTGCGAAATGTATCAGATTTCTTTGTTGCCCTTTATAATTATTTCAACATAGCGCCTTTTACAGTAAGTACTTTCTTAATTGATCTCATCAATAGTTAAATTAGGTTTCGAGCACGTTAAAGCGAAAACAAGGGCATGAGCCCCACTAATGGGTTGGCTATCAAAGGCTACTGTTCAGTAATCAACTGCATTCTGCAGGCAAAATATTCTACTTTACTAACTACCGAAGCATTTATTGTTGGGAGCCCATAATTCTCAATTATAGCCATGCAGCGCTCATAATTCTAAATTATCTGAGTTACTCGCATTCAGGAAAAGAAGCTGTCAGAAGGAACTTGATGGTCTTACCTTTCTTTTCAGATTTATGTGTTCAGCTAACTGCTGCCTAGCCAAGCCCATGGGTAAAACAGAAAAGAAACATTGCCAACTTCAAAAGTTTTTCAATGATGAATTTAGCTCAAAGCACGGAAGGTGAAAAGAATAAATCACCAGTATGTTTTCCTTTGTGAGGAGTGCAGCTCCTTATATTTATTTGCACTCCTTTATCAACCAAGGTACTCACCAGAAAGTCCTCTGGTCTAGCTACTGTGTTTGAGACATCCAAGAGTAGCCTAGTGGTGACCCCCACTCAGATATTCATACTCCCTCGCTGCAGTGAAGCAGCCCATTCATTGGGGAATTGGTAGCATTGGGAATTAAATCCATGTTTCCCTCAATGTATGGTACCATTTGTTTGTGTTCAAACAAACCATGTTACTTAATATTTCACTTGTGCTCTACATTTGGGTGACAGACTGGTTCAGTTGGTAGCACTCTCGCCTCCGAGTCTGAAGGTTGTGGGTTCAAGCCCCACTTTGGGACTTTGAATTAATTTCATGGCTGTTTGGGGGACACTGCCATGGGCAAATTGGCTGCTGCGTTTCCCTACAAATTACACAGTCACTGCTCTTTACAGTAAAAATCTTGCAAAGCGTTTCAAGTCATTGACGACTCTATATCAAATGCAAGGATTATCATTATATTTGCAAAGGAATTGT